GAGGGATGGGCAGGATGGATGGGACAGAGCGAGGTTGGGGGGAGAGGTGAGGTGAGGAGGTCAGGAGAAGAGATGGAGGCGCTGAGACGGCGGGGGGGAGGTGGGGCGATATGGGGGAGAGGGGGGAGAGGGGGGAGAGGGGGGAGAGGGGGGAGAGGGGGGAGAGGGGGGAGAGGGGGAGAGGGGGGAGAGGGGGGAGAGGGGGGAGAGGGGGAGAGGGGGGAGAGGGGGGAGAGGGGGGAGAGGGGGAGAGGGGGGAGAGGGGGGAGAGGGGGGAGAGGGGGGAGAGGGGGGAGAGGGGGGAGGGGGAGAGGGGGAGAGGGGGGAGAGGGGGAGAGGGGGAGAGGGGGGAGAGGGGGGAGAGGGGGAGAGGGGGGAGAGGGGGGAGAGGGGGAGAGGGGGGAGAGGGGGGAGAGGGGGGGAGAGGGGGGAGAGGGGGGAGAGGGGGGAGAGGGGGAGAGGGGGGAGAGGGGGGAGAGGGGGGAGAGGGGGGAGAGGGGGGAGAGGGGGGAGAGGGGGGAGAGGGGGAGAGGGGGGAGAGGGGGGGGAGGGGGGGATGGCATGGCACGGACGAAGATGCCAAGGCAGAAGCCGCCTAGCAGGCGGATGGCCTGTCAATGCTAATCGAAGAGCGGTTGCTTGCAGGGTCACAAGGTTACATAGTTACAAGGGTATGTAGTCACATACTTCGGTAGGTAGTTGCAGAATTACAGAGACTCCACAGTTCACCTAGCCCCAGGTCTCGCCTAGCCCCAGGTCTCACCTACGCCCAGGTCTCACCTAGCCCCAGGTCTCACCTAGCCCCAGGTCTCACCTACCCCCAGGTCTCACCTAGCCCCAGGTCTCGCCTAGCCCCAGGTCTCACCTAGCCCCAGGTCTCACCTAGCCCCAGGTCTCACCTAGCCCCAGGTCTCACCTACCCCCAGGTCTCACCTAGCCCCAGGTCTCACCTACCCCCAGGGCTCACCTAGCCCCAGGTCCACCAGGTACAGTTTCTTCTCCTCTGTTGTGCCAGGCTGCCCGAGAAGAAAGTTCTCGGGCTTCACGTCTCCATGCACGTAGCTGGCAGAGGGAATAACGGGGCGGGCAGGCAAGGGAGGGTAAGGGGTGAAGAGATGGGGTAACGGGGCAACAACAAAGCTTTCCGGCTCCACTTCTCGTGCTTCACGTCTCCGTGCACGTGGCTCAGTGGCTGGTGGAGGTAAGCCAGCCAGGTCGACACGGGAGGGAGAGGGAAGGGGATGGCACATGGATGGGGAAGAAAGAAGAGCAGAAGAGGGGGGGGGGGGGGGGGACACAGGGTAGGCGGAAGCGCAATCATGTTGTTTCGAGATGCACCGCTGACCTTCGTGCCCCACACTCCCTCACCCCTAGCTGTAGTCACACTCGCCCTTTTACCCCTGACACTACTCACCCTCGCTACAGTCACACTCACCCTCGCTACAGTCACACTCACCCTCGCTACAGTCACACTCACCCTCGCTCATGCACCTTCTCCAGGATGGAAAGAGCCTCCGCTGCTATGCACGCCACCATCTCCGTTGACATGCTGCCATCGGGGGGGGGAGAGGGGGGGGGTAGTGGGATGGGTAAGGTGGTAGCAGAGCAACGGCCTCCGTTGCTATGCACGCAACCATCTCCGTTGACATGCTGCCATGGGGGTGGGGAGGGGGGGAGGGGGAGGATAAGGTGGTCTCAGAAAGGAAGGGGAAAGGCAGGAGGAAGCAAGGGAAGGCAGCCACAGGGAAGCCCTACGACGGATGGGAAAGGTTACTCACGCTTGGTTGTGGTTGTTCCACACGTCCCACAGGCTGGGGCCTAACAAGTCCATCACCTGGCGCACACAGGCGTGAGTGCGGGAGAGCAGAGCAAATCGGCGAAAAGGAGCAAGAGAAGGGAGTGGGACAGGGGCGGGTAAGGCGAGGGAGGGAGGGAGGGAGGGGGGGAGGGGGGGAAGGGGGAGAGCGAGGGAACAATGTGGCCGTCCTGCATGGGGGGGGCATGCAGGACGGGAAGACATGCACGGCACCGTGAGAACGAGTGCACACAGGGGCATGCGTCACTGGAGCGCGAAAGAACGCCACGAATGCCACTCCGTAGCATGATGTAGCGGAAATTTCCACCATAATAAAGTACCCATCCCTACCATGATGTGTTTTGAGTCGACTCGAAACAGACCTTTTGAGTCGACTCAAAACCCACCACAATACAGTACCCATCCCTACCATGATGTAGTAGTCGCCCTGCCGACCCTTGAAGTGCACTCGCGGCACGCCATGGCTGCCGCCCAGCGTACTGCACGAGGCGGGCAAGGGGGAGGGTGGGGGAGGGGGGAAGGAAGATGAGAGAGGGGAATAGGGACAGAGGAAAGTGGCGCGCTTTGAAGTGCACTCGAGGCGCGCCATGGCTGCCTCCCAGCGCGCTGTGGGAGGCGGGCGCGGGGGGAGAGAGGAGGGCGGGGGGAGAGGAGGGCGGAAGGAAGAGGAAAGGAGGCGAGAGTGGAAGGGGAGAGGCAGGCGGGAAGAGGGCGGGAGGACAGAGAGCAAGGAAAGGAGGGGAAAGCAGAGGATGGGGTGAGCATGGTGAGCAGACGACGTGGCCAGTGAGAGGGAGAGGGAATGTGAAGCGGCGAGGGAGCACGTGGAGTGAGAGAGGAGGATAGATAGCTTGACGCTGATGGGGGTACTAGCCTGTGAATTGGTGCCCGGCGAGTTTGGAAAAAGAAGATACTTCTGACATTCTATGGGGGTTCAGTGGGAAGGAAGAGGTTCCGTGAAGCGGGTTGGAAACACAGAAAGAACCAACGATGCTCTCCGCTCAATCTCTCGGCTAGAAAAGAAAATCGTGGGTCCCACTGAAAGGCCTATGCACGCACGTGTACACCTGCCACTCGTACGGCGGGCCGTAGTTGCACCCCTTGCTGCTCCTGTGCTCCAACTTCAACGCCACCTGCACCCACGGCGAGCACGCAACAGCAGCGAGCAGAGCACAGCAGCCACGACAACTTCAGAAACCAGAAAATCCCCTCTCTAGCGCGTCAAGTGTGTGTCAACTACTAATCGTCTGTTCCCGCGCACAACGACTCACTAATTCGTTGATGCACAGCAGCTTTATTATTTAATTCCCCCTGCGAAAGCAAGCCGTCCAGACGCGCCTCTCACCTCTACCCGACCCTCTCATTCCCGCCGTTGACGCGTCCAACCACGTACACCTGCCCGAACCTGCCCTTTCGCAGCTTTTCCGTGCAACGATATATCCCAGCGGAAATACGCTAATAAGATGAGACTCTCTCACCTCTACCGCGTTCGGCCCGACCCTCTCGTTGCCGCCGTTGACGCGTCGCCCCACGTACACCTGCCCGAACCCGCCCTTCCCCAGCTTCCGCTCCATCTTATACACCGGCGACCCGCCCACTTGCACCTGCCGGGGAGGGACGGACTCGATAAGAAGTTACTAGTACTAGACTAACCCGCCCTTCCCAACTTCCGCTCCATCTTACACACCGGCGACCCGCCCACTTGCACCTGTCACGAGAAGACGTACGAGGTTAGAGGTTAAGTGTAGACGTTATCATACGAGAGCCCGGCTAAACTGCGCGGTGAGTCGGCGTGTTCTGGCGTAGATACGCGCGCGAATAAACCATGCGTGAGGAGTCTATTTTTGAGGCGCCTCAAAACTAAACTGCGCGGTGAGTCGGCGTGTTCTGGCGTAGATACGCGCGCGAATAAACCATGCGTGAGGAGTCTATTTTTGAGGCGCCTCAAAACTAAACTGCGCGGTGAGTCGGCGTGTTCTGGCGTAGATACGCGCGTGAATAAAATGAAGTAAAAATCCGCCGTACCCTATCGGGAAGCGCCGTGGAGCCGCCTTCCGCATCTGCCGCTCCTGCTGCTGCTGCTGCTGCCGGTGCTCTATCTCTATCCGCACTCTTTCGCTCGCTCTCTTCCTCCATCGGAGCTCGCTGGGTGATCTTTCTTCTTTCTAGACGACCGGAGTGACTAGTAAGTACGACCCGCGATTAGAATACGGTTCGCCGTCCGGAGTATCCTTATCTCGCAGTAGAAGCGGTATCTGCGGAAAAACAAATAAGCCGCCTATTCGACTCGCCTAAATAAAATTCAAAACTTGAGGCCGTGAACAGCTGGAAATGTTAAAATCCGCGATATAGCAGATTGACTAGGATCTGCCCAATTCGCTGAGCTAGACGCGACAGATGGGAGGCAGGATGGGAAAGGGGAGGTAACCTAAAATATGTGTACTGTAGTGCTGCTGAGAAGAGTGGTTCGAGTGGAATCGAAAAGAAGCGACGAGAGGGAAGCAAAGACCGAGAAGGGAAGTCCGACCCAGGGCAGCAGCCAAGTCGCCCAGAGGCAGACTGCTGCTCTTCCGCAATCTCGAGGAAACCCTACAGCGCGGTTTGGGTTGGTGATGTGGGGGCTTGTGGGGGGAAGGGGGGGGAGGGAAAGGGGAGTGGGGGCATTTAGTTTCGCCAACGTGTCTTGTGGCGAGGGAAGAGGCGGAAGACGAACTCGCGAAAAGCAGTCCAGTCGGAGAGCTGGTTACAAAGCAGCGGAACCGCCCGCTTGCGGTGAGGTGCGGCGGAGCAAACCTTTTTCTGGGGGCTGGCTGGCCATGATTGGTGGACTGGTGAGTCAGTGACAGGGCGAAGTGACAATTGAAATCTTTCGCGCGGGGAAGTTGGGTTTGGGGGCGACCAGCGTGGCGATTTCGCGAAGCAACAGGCATCTGACAGCACAGTGGTGCCGTTCGCTGGCAGGATATTTCCAGGGAAACGCGTGCTTGTGCGAGTGAAGGATGACCCAGATACTGTACTCGATAGAGAGGAGAACGCATGGTTGGTGGAGCCACCAACCCCGCGATATGTTGTGTGAGCACTGTAAAATGCTTACAATCTGCAAGTACGTTCACAACTACCTACAAGTACGTACGTACTCTCATCCACATGAAAGTGCACCAACTACTTCAGGAGAAACTGAATCTACCATTTTCAATAAATACATGTACCGCAAATTCCACAAAATAAAACAGCCATCTGATGGGTCCGAGCCATCAATGAGACACAAGCAAAACTCAAAGAGCAGCCATGGGAAGCCATACCTACACCATCTATTAGGGCTCATCCTCATCGGTTCCAACTGCGAAGCCATAGCTGTCAGCCCTGTCCCCATCACTCGTACCCTCTCCGCTACTGCTGCCCCCTCCTGCCCTCACATCGCTCGATGGACTCCTGGCCGCTGCCTTGCCATGCCTCTTATGACAGCTGCGATCCCTGTCACCATCACCATCACCACCACCAGAGTAATCATCATCCGACACATCATCACCATCATCAGTATCATAGTCATCGTCATCATTATTACCGCCGGAAGCATTGCCAGCAGCTGCCTCGCGTGCAGCAGCACCAGTGCGAGCGGCTTTCTGACTCCAAAGAAGCTGAACCAGGGCTTGCTGCTGCTGCACCTGCTGCAACAACATCTGCTGCTGCTGACACTGTTGCTGCTGCTGCTGGTGCTGCTGCAACATCTGCTGCTGCTGCCGATGTTGCTGCAGCAGCTGCTGCTGTTGATGCTGTAGCAAAATCTGCTGCCATTGCTGCTGCTGCTGCTGCTGCTGCTGCTGTTGTTGTTTTTGCCATTGTTGTTGCTGATGTTGTAGTTCCTGCTGCTGTTTCTGGACAAGGAAAGCTTGAAAAGCCGCCATGTTTGCCGCATCCATACCTCCGCCTAAACCACCTATACCTTCCCCCAGGCCAAAGCCCGTGGCTGTGCCCAAACCAGGGCCCAAGCCCAGGTCAAGCCCCATGCCTGCTGCTGCCTCTGATTCCTGTGGCACGGCATTGGCCCTGATTCCTGTGGCATGGCATTGCCATTCCTGTGCCACGGCATTGACCCTGATTCCAAGCCCACGAGGCGTGCTGCTGTGCTGTCCCCCCCTCTCTCCTTCCCCTCCCCTGCCCACATCACCGCGACTGTCGTTGCCACGATCACCATTGTCACGATCACCATTGTCACGATCACCATTGTCACGATCGCCATTGTCACGATCGCGACTGTCACGATCGCCACTGGCACGATCACCATTGCCACGATCGTTGTCGCTGCAAGGAGCAGCAGTTGCAGCGTCATTCACAGCAGCCGTGGCAGCAGCAGCGGTGACAGCAGCAGCAGCCGAAGCATCCACGTCTAAACCCGATAGGGGCCTGTATCCGCCGAACGGATCCGATACGGTAGAAAGCGGTACACCGGAGAGAGGAGGAGCAGGGGCAGCAGTGACAGCAGCAGCAGGGGAAGCAGCAGCATAGGAAGGGTCACCAGGCACAACATGCTGATAGAGGTCAGGTGAAAGCCCAGGAGAAAGGCCAGGTGAAATTCCAGGTGGAATCCCAGGTGAAAGGCCAGGAGGAGTTTGGTATAGGGGATAGCTCCACGCACTTGCCAAGCCACCAACCATGTCAGTTGCCGAGCCTACAGGCACGGGGTTGGTAGGCACGACCGAGGGTAAAGTGGGGCTCTTGCCTGTATGGCTGGCAGGTATGGGATGAGGGATGGGGGAAGGGCGAATAGGACTAATGGGAATGGGACTAGGGCGAATGGGGCTGGGGCGAACCGGGTTGCAGTGAAAGCCGTGGGGCGAGGCGGGGGCATGGGGTGACTTGAAGCCGTGGGGCGAGGTGTGGCGGTGAGGTGAGCCGTTGGGGCGGTGAGGTGAGCTGGCAGGGTGATGCGGAGAGCTGGACACGGCAGGCTCTTCGGGGTGTCTGGATTCCCGCTGTGTGTGGTGTGTGCGTGGGGAGGAGGCCACACGAGGGGAGCGAGACAGAGCAGGAGCAGCAAAGGACGCTGCTCTCGGGCTTGCTTGCCATTCTCCCTCGCCCTCTTCTCGCCTCTTTCTCTTTCTTTCTGCCTTTGCCTTGGAGCAGGCAGCAGCATCACTAGCAGCGCCACCAGCAGCGCCACCAGCAGCAGCAGTTGCAGCAGCAGCTGCTGCTGCTGCAATGTCTGCTGCAGCTGCTGCCAGTGCTGCCGCCACGTGTTGCTCTGAACTCCCTGCCACGTCATAATTAAGACCATCCACCTCACCACTCCCATAACCCTCTATCACCTCCCCCCTTCCCCTCCCCTCCTCATCTCCCCTTCCTCCCTCCTCCCCACCTGCACCCCCCCCTCCCCCAACCGCCGCAGAAAACCCATCCGTATCTGTCCTAACCACCTGCCCTGGGAATCCCCGAGCCTGCGACTCAGCTTCGGCACAGGCGTCCAGGGCAGCGGGGGCTTGGAAACGAGGCTGGGGAGGCGCGGGCGAGAGATGCGCGCTGGTAGCAGAGGGTTCGGGCGACGGGGGGAGAGCAGCTTGGAAAAGCTCCTGCTGAACCTGAATCAGAGAGTGCAGGTCCAAGAGTTGTGATCGGAATATGCGCCCGTGCCTGGTTGGGGATGGTAGGATGGAGGGAAGGAAATAGATGAAGCAAAGGAGATAGTTTGAGTCAAACTAGAGTCAAGCTGCTGCACTAGAGTCAAGCATTGCCGGTCCAGTAGCCGTGAACATGCGGTCTTGATGCCTGGTGCGCAGTGGGTGCAGGGGTGGGATGGATGGAAGGGATGTCGCCGAGCGAAGGGGAGAGATGAAGGGGAGGAAAGCGAATGGAAAGGCCGGCACAGGAATAGGAGGAAAAGGGAGGCAAAGACAAGCGAAAAATGAGGTGCATTCCTTTACATGCTGTGCTGCGCACCTCTGCATGCCTTGGTTTTGAGACGTCTCGAAATGCTCACCTCTGCATGCCTTGCTGAGTACGCCAGAACTCCCGTTGACCCACCACGGCCACAATATCACATGCCCGCACTCCTCCTCTTACCCCTGCGCTCCCCCTCACTTCCCTCCTCCCTCTCACTCCCCCGACCGCTTCCCTCCCTCCCCTTCCACTGCCTCCTACACAGTGCCCTGCCCCCTCCTTCTCCCCTCCTCCTGCTCCCTCTGCTTCTGCTGCATTCCCCCTTCCGCTCTGCTCTCCCCCCTCTAATGTCTCAATTCCCCCCTGTTCACTAGCAACTCCCGCCTTCCGCCCCCCACCCATCCCCTCTCCCCCACCTGTTTCTTCCATCCTCCATGCATCCCGCTTCACCTTTGCCACGTCAGCCCCCCCTCCGCCCACCTTCCCCTTTCCCAACATCTCCCGTTCCCCCTCCTGCCCCTGCCCCTGCCCCTGCCCCTGCCTCCCCCTTTTCCCCGGCCCCCCACCGCCCACAGCACCTCCCCCTGGGAAAAACCCGCGCCCCACCACCCCCCCAGGGCCTTCCCCCGCTGTTTTCCCCCCTCCAAAGCCATACTCCCCACCGCTTCCCCCAATGCCTCCCCCCCCAATCTTGCCCCCAACCATAGCCGCAAGCATGGTAGCCGCGGATACTGCAGCAGCATCAGGCGTAACCACACCCGGGGAGAAGGGCAGCGGGAGACCAAAAGGGGAAGGGGAGGCGGAGGCGACGAAGGGGGAAGGCCCGCAAGGAAGGGCGAACGGGGAGGCGGAGGCCGACGCAGGGGGGGTGGCGGAGGTGCGGGAGTGGTGGCGCCAGGACCAGAAAGCGCTCTCCGCAGCTTCATCCCGCGGGGAAGAGATTCCGGGAATCCGCCCCCTTCCGCCCCCCATTGCGCCTCCCATCCCGCCTGCCGTCCCGCCAACTCCCCCTCCCCCGCTACTGAAGTCCAATCCCGCCGAGGGTGCTGCAAATCCCGGAAATGCGCCCGCAGTCAAGCACCCGCCTGCTGTATGCGGCATGGCGGAAGGTCCCCCTGGTGTGTGTGCAAGGGCGGAGGGGGCGAAGCGGGCGGAAGGGGAAGGAGGGGCGGAAGGCCCGCCTGTGGCGTGTGCTGCGCACGCGGACTGGAATGCAAGAGCCGCCTGCAGCGAGGCGGGTTCCTGGAAGCTTCCAGACAGAGAGTTGCTGCGGGCAGAAATAGAAGCGGGCGCGGTGCTCTTGCTGTCGGGGAGCGGCGGGAGCTTGAAGGGTGCTTGTAACGAGTTAGGAGCTTGCAACGAGTTCGCGGCTTGCGACGAGTGCGGCGCGGAATAGGGATCCTGGCGGGTGACTGCGAAGGGAGAGTAGGCGAACTTGGACGCATAAGCGGGTGGTAACATGGATGCTGCGACCTGATTGGTAGATGGGTTGGTGCGGGGACGGGTAACAGACGGAAAAAGGAACGAGAACGTTCACGCACTGAAAGGGACGGGGTGACGGAGCGCCGACAGACGAGCGGGCGGATAAGCGAACGGAGGTGGGGAAGAAGGGCCACGAAACAATCTAGTGAGCTGTCCGACAGTTACGCAACGAGAATTATCTAAAGACCGCCCGTTAGCGCTTGCGACTCCACAACAGCTGTCGTCAGGAGGATGGTAGAGCCAGGGGAGAACAGCTTAAAACGGGGGGAAAACGGGGCGGAATGCGTACCGTGGCGTCGGGATGCGCGGGAGAAGCAACGCCTGCTGGTCCTGAACTGCTGGACGGGAAACCGCTTGACTGAAAACCGCTTGACTGAAAACCGGTTGACTGAAAACCGCTTGACTGAAAACCGGTTGACTGAAAACCGCCGGACGGAAAATTGCTTGATGGAAAACCGTTTGACGGGAAAACGCTTGACGGAGGGCAGTACGGGGAGGATGGGGGGAAAGGGCTGGCGGAGGCTAGCGGGGGGGCAGAGAGGGGAGCGGCGCGGAAGCGCTTGGCGGAAGGCAGCGCCAACGTCTCGTAGAGCGCCATCTTGTTCCGCGGAGGTGCCTTGGGCCCCCCCACCGCTGCTGCTGCTGCGCTGCTGACGTCTATCCGCGGAAAAAGCGCCATCGGCTCCGGTTGGTCCTTCCGACTCCTGCCTCTATGGCCCGAATTCTTACTCATCGCAAAAAGTACTTAGCAGGAATTAAATAGTGATGTCCAGCATGCTATTACTGAATAAGCTTGGAACGAATACTGTTCTTCGTAAGAACAAGCTGAGGAGCTCGACCCGACTTGGATATCTGTTAGCACTCTCAAGGGCTACCGCGGAACGATTTTCTACAGCAATCGTCGAGTCGAATTTCCTAAGCAAGCTGCGAGCCACAAACAGATCGGGCTACAAGGTCGCTAAGCTTCGTCGGAATCGTGCCGTCAAATCTTCTCTATTTACCCAGAGAAAACCCGAGCGGAAGCCAGGAAGCAAGCAAGGAGGGGAAGATGTCCACGGAAGCAGACAGAGACTGAAGAATGGAAGACACAAGATAGGAGGAGAAGAGCAGAGCAGCAAAGCACAGAAGAGGGAACAGAGCGAACACACAGAAAGACAGAACCGAAGGAAAAATATCTTCAGGAACAGCAAAAAGTGCACCAAACTTTCCGAAAAAGCACCATCGCATGGATTCACATGGTGTTCAAGCGAGTGACTGTGAGCCACGTGGACGGAAAATCATTTGCTCTGGTTCGGGCTGGATCCAGCGGGTCAAAGTGAAGGACAGTCGCTGCGCCGCGAGCTTTGTGGTCAGAATTTCTGAAACCCTTGGTCCGTTCGGTTGGTGGTGAGGGAGCGGGCGGGATCCTCGCTGGGCTGTCCTACGATTTGAATGGAAGCCCTGCAGCTGCCACCTGCGCATCTTCGTGCCTGGAATGTACACATGGAATGTACACTACCTTCCATGAACACTCAATATAAGCCAGGCCTGTACAAAATATACACACCAGTTACAAATCGCATGTATACTAAAGCCAAAAGAATACACTTCACTGCCTATGTACACTGAAAAGTGGCACAAAACTGTTACACAAGCTCCCAATTGTCCTCAATATCCGAAGTATCTTCCAAGGAATCGCCCAACGAGGAGGTGTCCATCTCGGGCACCTCCTTCACCACATAGGTCGCCAAGTCAGCCTTGTTCCCCACCGTGAGGAGCGGTGCACCGTTGGACAGCTGGGCTAGCTGCCGCATGCGATCACACAGATCATCGAAATCAGCTGCATGTGTGGGTAGGGGAGTGGAATTGGGAATACAGGCATATGGTCAAATGGATAGATTTCTAGCGAAGTCATGCAGCTTGCGTAACACTTGGTAATGGGACAGCTAAGGTTCAAGGTTGTCAATCCATACGGCGAGAAACTGTTATAATCGACTGATTACCTTGGGTGGCACAGTAGAAGCCAAGAGCAAGGGAGGAGTCAATTGCTGACAGTGGCATGTGGCGGATGGTGCTGCACCCACACAGAGACAAATCAAGCGACAGATGTGGTGAGAAGGTTTTTTAGGCGCCTCGAAAATAGGATGGTGCTGCACTCACAGAGACAACGCCAAGGACAGAGATGGTGAGAAGGAGCTGTGCGTGACAAGGCAGAAGAGAGGGGATTGGAGCAATAAAGCACTCTAAAAGGCCCAGCTCAGAAGCACCCATCGAGCAAGGATTGCAGCTCAGCGTGTATGAAACCATAATTTCCCAGTGGGGAATGATCTTACAAAAATACTAAAAACATCAAACTCACTTGCAGTGGTAGGACGATGTGTCCACGTGGCATGCGCTGATTGGCCCTTCGGGAAAATCAACAGCCTGCAGAGGGTCGAAAGGAGGGCGAGGAGTGGGGTAGTCATGATAGGATGGCTAACCAGCCATGGCCGCACAGGAAGAAAGGCAGGTCTAGTTCGGAATCAAAAGCGCAGAGATTACCTGCTGCGGGTAGTGCGGGTCGAAGCGGAGCACGTTGCTGCGGTGCGTGCCGATGGAGTAGAGAGAGGTGTTGGTCTCGCCTGACATTCTTACCTAGTAACCACATTGTACTGTTACCTGGCGGGTAACCACATGGCGTTACCTGCTGCGGATAGTGCGGGTCCAAGTAGAGCACGTCGCTGCGGTGCGTGCCAATGAAGTAGACAGAGGTGTTGGGCTTGCCTGACTGTTGGTACATGGCATAACCTATCAAGGCTAGTTCGGGATGAGTCACTCGGAGATCACCTGCTGCGGGTAGTGCGGGTCAAGGAAGAGCACGTCGCTGCGGTGCGTGCCAATGAAGTAGAGCGACGTGTTGGGCTTGCCTCCCGCGATGCCCACACTCTGGGGGAAGGCGAAGGTGCGGCGCAGCGACTCCAAGTAGCTGTAGGATGGGTGGAGGGGTGAGAGGGGAGGGGTGAGGGGTTAGGGGAGGGTGAGGGGTTAGGGGAGGGTGAGGGGTTAGGGGAGGGTGAGGGGTTAGGGGAGGGTGAGGGGTTAGGGGAGGGTGAGGGGTTAGGGGAGGGTGAGGGGTTAGGGGAGGGTGAGGGGTTAGGGGAGGGTGAGGGGTTAGGGGAGGGTGAGGGGTTAGGGGAGGGTGAGGGGTTAGGGGAGGGTGAGGGGTTAGGGGAGGGTGAGGGGTGAGGGGAGGGTGAGGGGTGAGGGGAGGGTGAGGGGTGAGGGGAGGGTGAGGGGTGAGGGGAGGGTGAGGGGTGAGGGGAGGGTGAGGGGTGAGGGGAGGGTGAGGGGGTGAGGGAGGGTGAGGGGTGAGGGGAGGGTGAGGGGTGAGGGGAGGGTGAGGGGTGAGGGGAGGGTGAAGGGTGAGGGGAGGGTGAGGGGTTAGGGATGAGAAATGGGGCGGATGGAGAGGGGGGGTGGGACCAGGGGCAACTGCTTGCGGCGTCCAAAAGCACACTCTGGGGGAAGGCAAAGGTGCAGCAGAGAGTATTCAAGAAGCTGCTAGAGAGGAAAGGCGGATGGGGAGGGGGAGGGGGGGGGGGACCAGGGTCAACTGATTGAGGCGTCCAAGAGCCATCACCGCATGCAGAACTTTCAGCCATCTGACACCACTTATGCTTGCTCACCGCGCGTCCATGTGGTCGATGCCGAGAACCAGAGGCACCAGAATGAGCACCGACCGCCATTGGCTTGCCTCCCCTCCCCTCTCCCCTCCCCGTCTCCCCCCCCTCCGCCCCTCCTGCTGTGGCCCCAAGCACATCACCACATGCTTCCCCCCCTTCCACTCCCCCCCCTCCTCCCCTTCCCTCTCCCCCCCCTCTCTCCCCCCCACCACACAGCGCCACCACCTCATCAAACACACAGCATGGGCGCGCCCCCCCCTCCCTCGCCCTCGGGATGCGCCCCCACCACATGCACCCGCATGCCCCATAGGGGTCCCTCCTTGCCACATGGCAGATTCATCATTGCCCCATGGCAGATCATCATTGCCCCATGCTGCCTGTCCTTGCATGCTGATGTAGGAGTTTTGTCTCGTGATAGGTCTTCTGAGCCTTCCTCCCTCGCACCTGCAGAAATATGACACTTACTTCCTTCTTCTCTTCTCATCCCACCATTCCCTTTCTCTCGATCCTCCATCTCGCCCTCACACTCCTTATTCCTCCTTTCCCTACTTCTTTCCTGCTCCCTAACTCCGTTCACCCCACTCCCTCCTCCCCCTCTCCCCTCCACATCTGTCCGCCCTCCCGCGCACACCTCACAATCACCTCTTCCCCCCCCCTTCTCTCCACCCCTTCCTCCCCTCCCCCCTCCTCCATCTCCCGAACCAAACTCCCGAGCGTCACACACAGCCGGTACGGCCCGAGCCACGCCCCAGCCTTGACACCGAGCCTAGCGCCGGCTCGAACCAGGTGGTGCAGAGAGAAGGGGGAGAGAGGGGAGGGCGAGTCGGCAAAGAGGCGAAGGACCTCGTAGTATGCCTGGGAGAGGGGAGAGGGGGGGGGGAGTGCATGGGAGCAGCAGGTCAATAAAGCAGGGTAAAGAGACAAAGAACCCCACAGTAGGTCTGGGTATGAGGGGCAATGTGGGGTGACCCTGAAACGAGGCAATTATATCGAGTCAGAGATATGTTCTGGGGCGCCTTGTAGACAGGAGGTGGGTGGAATGGGATGTGAATTGGATATTGGATACAAGGACATGGCAGCGGATATGGGAGTGATTGGGCACGTGGCTGCGTGGCATATGACGGGAGGACAACAGGACAGGGCAGTGGATGATTGCCATCCACGCCCACATCTAACCATTGCCCTTATCTCCCCTCTCTCATCTCCTTGCTCTCTCCTACCCATCACCTGGCTCGTACCCATCACCTCTCTCCTACCCATCACCTCTCTCCTACCCATCATCACCTCTCTCGTGCCCATCACCTCTCTCCTTACCTCCTCCTCCCTCCCCACATGTCGCCTCCACTGGCGGCCCAACCGGTGGCAGAGCAAAGCCTGGAAAGAGGGGAGAGAAGGAGAGGGAAGGAGAGGGAAGGAGAGGGAAGGAGAGGGGAGACAGCAAAGCAAGAAGGAATAATGGCGATGAAACAACCTTCTCATTTTTAATCATAGAGAATATTTGCCATGAGACGGTGATAGCCGAACCATTATCATCTGTGCAGTGCTGACTATGCAAGTGGTAGGACCAACAACAGCCGTACTGCCAACAAGAACATCACAATACCTGAGTCATCATCTGCCCCGTGCGAGAGGAGTCTATTTTTGAGGCGCCTCAAAAGTAGGACCAACAACAGCCGTACTGCCATGCCAACAAGAACATCACAATACCTGCGTCGTCATCATCTGCCGCGTGCGGAACAGGCAGCCCCCCATCCTTTTAGGACAACAAAGGGAACAAAGGCAGTACTGAATGGACAAGTGAATGCATGCTCCCAAGGGAACAAGGGAATGCATGCATGCCACTGCCTGCGCCATCATCATCCTCATCTGCCGCGTGCGGAACAGGCAGCCCCATCCGGTGTCAGTGGTGAAGGCACCATCACCGCAGGGCAGTGGGGCAGACCCCCATCGCACCTGCGATGAAGGCACCATCACCGCAGGGCAGCTTTTGAGTCGACTCAAAAGTCACCTTGTCAGTGGTGAAGGCACCATCACCGCAGGGCAGTGGGGCAAACCCCATCGCACCTGCGCCATGACACACACACACATAATCTAGCACCCGTGCCGTAACCCCCAGTACCTGCGCCAGCATCATCTGCCCCGTGCGGAACATGCAGCCCCATCCGGTGTCAGTGGTGAAGGCGCCACCGCAGGGCAGCGGAGGGAACCCCCAGCGGTAAGTCATCCATATCCTTGACTGCACGTCCGCCAGCAGATCCTCCGACGAGCCCCCACTCCGATCCCCCCCTCTGCTCGCATCTCCGTTGCTTTCCCCTCTGCTCGCATCTCCGTTGCTTTTCCCTCTGCTCGCATCTCCGTTGCTTTCCCCTCTGCTCGCATCTCCGTTGCTTTCCCCTCTGCTCGCATCTCCGTTGCTTTTCCCTCTGCTCCCCACCTCCCTGCTCTTCCCGACCCCTTCTTGCTCCTCTTGCGCCTCCCTTCTCTCTCTCCCTTCACCATTGTCCCGCTCGTGGTCATCGTCTTTCCTCCCCTCTCGCTCCTCTGCTCTTCCCCGCCCTATCTCCCTCCCTTGCTCCCACCCTTGCGATTGCTCCAGCCTGCCTAGTGCGGCTGCTTCTTTCTCTGCAACCTCGCTTGCCCCTGCTCCCTCTCCCTGAACCTTCTCCCCCTCCCACCTCGGCTCCAA